AGCCACCATGAATTCTCCGTGAGCCCCGTAAACGGCGTCGTTGAGCGGTTTCTTCACACTGTATGTGCTGCTTATCACGGCTGCTATGCCACAGCATAGAAGGATTGCGGTGGTGGCCATTAGGGTTGACCCCATGATTGTGTTCCGAAGTGTTTGGACGGCCAAGATATTTTTCTTTTCATTATCCTGATAAATATTCATATATTATGTTGTCAAATTGTCAATTTAACAGCGTATATTTTAAAAAAACAATAACAGTTTTATCAATTACAAAAATATTAGACTGTTTGACGAGATAAACATTTTGCCGACAAAATAGCTTGGTTTTTAAACTATTTGGTACCAAGAAATGCCTTGTAGACACATCATTATTGAGGCAGGAGCTGACGTGTGATGCAATAGGAGCTGAGTGGGTTAGTGATGTAAGAATATAAGCATGGTGGCATGCAATTAATCTTCACTTATATATCCAATATGCCTAGTAACCTCAAAATTAAATATATATATAATTTTTTTTTTAAAAAAACAGTGGCCCATCATCCATGTGATGAACAAGAAACCACTTCGAAATGTTTTTATTTATTGTGGCTCAAAGATGATGATGAAACAACGATTAGAAGCTCCCACTGACCACCTTGTGAGGGATAATGGTATATGCACGAGTCATGAGAAATATGCTTGGTTTCTTACGTGCCACGTTGAATCATTGTAATGCTAGATTAATCAGATTGCATTAAGGCAAAGTATAGTTGGATGATTAAAAGACCCAAAAGGAAGTTTTGAGAAGATGGAAGAATCTGTCATGGTTATATTGTGAAGATGGAAGAATAGACACAGGAAAAATACTTTAAATTAACAGTCTAACAATATAATACGATGTGGGGATAAGAAATGTAATAAACAAGAGATCTGATAAACTGAGACAATACGCAAATGCATGCACACTTTGTGACTTTTTCTGTTTGTACCACCTTATGAGTTTCACATAGGTGAGTATAAGACGATTATTTTGTTAGAAATATAGTGGGTCAGTTAAGATGGTACAAATAGTTTTAATGTATTACCAAAGTAATAATAGAGTGCAAGTATTGCGTACCTTCATCATTGCGGAGACCCAAAATCGTCGTCCATTGGTGTTTATGCCGATGATGGTAGACTGTGGATCAGTCCGAACCTTATGCCATAACCAAGCATGATAAGAAGCAGTTATCAGAAACCCTAGTGGTACAAGAATTACATCCAAGTAGCATTTCCTCCATTCCATTTCTTTCTCTCTCTCTCTCTCTCTCTCTCTCTCTCTCTCTCTTCTTTTTCTCTTTGTTGAGGGCTTTGGGTGCTCTTCTCTTGCTCTTATAATAATGTTCCTTGATCTCTCCACTTGGGTGCTTGGGCAGCTGTATATATAATAAGTCTACACAGGGAAATGAATGTGGACTTGTTTAAAAACGTAATTCAGTACCCGACCTCATAGAATCCATGGGCAACGAGGATAAATAAAATGAACAATATCAAAGTAGGGAAAAGCAAACCCCCCCACTTTATTGCTAAATTACAGACACGAGCCAAATGATGTGGGTGAGCCCAGCTTTAGTTTTTTTTTCTCTCTCTCCTTTTTTTTGTGTGGTTTTGTTTTGGTGTTTTTCCCATCTGCCAACCTCCTTTATATCCTTGATGTGTTTTTAGTGATTTTTCTTTTTGCTTGCCCCACAGAATTTTTTGTTGGAACCCGATACGCCAATTTGACGTACATTATTAGCTAATTGGTATTTAGACGCAATTTTGCCGATTGGTGCTTGAAAAAACAGAATGAGATGTGTGAAAGAAGGAAAGCTATATGGGTTATGAATTTGTAGTAGTAACATGGCTCAAATGTACCCGTTGTGTGTGCTTAGCCTTTTGAAGTAATAAGCTACGTGCAATTTCTTAAAAAGGCTAAAACAATGCGAACACCAAATATTCTTGGCTTGCGCTCCAACAAAGGATGAGCTCAAAGACCGATTTGCAACGAATCAAAAGGGTTTGACAAAATTTGGGTTATCTTTCATTTGAGATTTTTTTTAAGTAGAATCTGTACGATTCGAGGATAAATTTTATTAAATAAAAATCGAACCAGTACAACGAGGGGGCATATATAAAAGTTTCATTTGGGATTAAACCGCATTATTTTAGGATATGGGCAACTTAGTTACCACAAATATCAAGTGGGTTTAGGTTTGGGAATTTCTGTTCCACATAAATTTAGAGTGGTGTTTATGGAATTTAAAATAAAAATGCAGGGCTAAATGCAAAGAGTGGAGGTGCTGCATGAAACAGAGTGAGAGTCTGACAAGGCGCAGAAAAAAGAAAAGAAAAGAAGAAATGATAGATGAGGAGGGAGCACGCCTTCTTCATGAGTCTTGAGGGACTGTGCACGCACTGCCCACTAATTTCAGGGATAGAGAGAGATGGAGATAGTTTGATAGAGCATTTTCCCTTTCAAATTTCTTACGTCTGTACTGCTTAAACATGATCATAATCATCATGCTAACACAACATCATATTTGATAATAACAACTGAAATTGTTCTCAATTGATCTTTTGAGATCTATGACATGGATCCACGAACGTCATTTATATATCCGATATTATAACCCATCCATTAGTCTAACGGTATTTGTCTCCACTTTACAGGAAGATGATTTAGGTTCGAGACTCCATCAAACTTGTGTTAAGGGTAATGTTGTATTGTCATACTGTGAATTTAAATCATTAATATGTCGCTTCTTACCAAAATGTGTGATACATATATACAGTTTAAGAACATATAAGCACATTAGTCTCCATGTTAAACATTTCATTTTGAGTGTGAAACATTTCATTCTCCACCAAAAACAAAACTTTGAAAGTTTTGGTAATGACCACTAACGAATACTAATCCTATAGTAATCTTGTACTAAAAAAACATGGATATGCTAGTACTAAAGTATGATTAGGACATGCAGCATAGCTAGTCTAAAAGGAAAAGGCAAGATTGAATTGTTTATGGGTCATCTTTCCTTTGATGGATGAAGCTCTCACCTTGTCAAAATGTGACACCGTCTTTGTCCTTTCCAGCCATGTTGAACGATGAACAGACCAAACATTGGTAGTGGGACAGTAGCATGATTAATTAGGATAATAAAAAGAAATTCAAAAAGCATGTGCTGCATGCATAGACCTCAGCAATCATCAATGAAAAAGCCCCCTTATCCTGCACCTATAATCTTCAAACATTTATCAATGGGTACAACTTAGTTTGGTTGACCTCTTTTACTTTTACTCATGTGAGTAGAGATTCGAAATCTCCAAGTACTCATTGAATGTTTGTGTAAACTCCATGCCCTAATCGCTTTAAAATAATAATAATAAATAAATAAATAAATAAATTATATCATGGAATTAATTTTCTAATGAAGACCAAAGAAAGAAAAAAAAGAGATGTCCAATCAGTGAGATATGTAATGGGGTGCCTTAAGAAGTGGGTGGCCAACAATACTTTGTATCTATTGGTCATGTCATCCACATAAGACCACTGTTTATGTCTAAGTAGTGCTCTCAGGATACCCAGCATAGAAGAATATCAAACCTGCAAGTTCCCAGCAGCCTCCTTCCTTGCACAGGAAGAAAGAAAGAAGCTTGTAGATGATTTTTCTATTATGTATACATGTAGATGGCCATTACTCTTTAGTGCTCCAATATAAATTTTACCTAACTTGGAATGAGAATTTTAGCTCCAAAGTTTCATCGGTTTGACAAATGAGGAACAAAGCAACCCCCATCAAAAGAGAATATGCTAGTTGGAGATTCTTAAGATTCTTATATTCATGTAGGGTGAGTTTCCAGAAATTTTATCCCAACTTTTTTTATCTTATGGGTTAATATTCCAAAAAGAATTGTGAAACAAGCCAAGCCAGAATAATCCTACATCTGAAGTTCTGAACCAACGGTCTAATGTTGTCTTTGTTCTTGGCTAATTATATACGTAAATAACATATTCCTTAATCCTTGTGATCTGCCAACCCATCCCAATGTTCTTAGGGATCAGTCTTGAATATCACAATGGCTTTTTGCCAGTCTTGGCCAGCAGGTAAAGATATTCAATTCTAATACCTTTAAATATCATATTGCTTTTGTTAGGGACAAATTCTACAACGTGACCTGGCTTTATCAATTCAAGTGTTATAATATAATGGTTGATATTACCTTAAGTATAGGGCGGCGATTTTCCCACTTATTCTCTTTTTTGCTTTTTAATTAATTTTATTCTTTTCTGTTCATTCTCTTTCATATTCTACCTTTACCCTACAATTCCCTTTAATAAAAAGACATATACAATCACTTACTAATATTATGAAAGAATAAAAATATGTGACTATTATGCATACTTTATTCTCTACACATCTAAGCTCCTAATGACAGTTTGGTTAGTAACATTCTTTAGTTCTTCTACCTGTAAACATGTTAGCCCAAACAAATTATTATCTATTAACTACAATAAAGATAAATAGTACTCACATACTTAGTAAAAAAAACAAAGAATTTGGCGTACGAATACTTACATTTCTATCAATTTCCAAAAATTGTTTTTGTTTTATTTTATGTTAACTTTTCTTAATTTCAGTTCTCAAAACCTTAATGTAGAGTAAGAGTAGAATTCGAAAGAGAAAGAACAAAAAAGAACGATATTGATTAAAAAGTATTAAAAAAACAAAAAAGAGTGTAAGTGGAGAACATGAGAGCAGGAAAATTAACTCCCAAAGTATATTATTAACAAATTGATATAAGTATTTTAACACGAGTAGATTAGTAACACTATGTGATAAACTTATTTTAAAATAAAGTCAGATCTTGAATTGTTACAAAATTAATGGAAATTTTCTTGAATTTGGGCAATGACTTCTGGGCCAACTGGCTGGCTAAAAGCCTTACCTCATATTCCTTTGGACTACGTACAAGCTATGGTACATTGGGTATTATATGGGTTTTATCTACTTTGCAGCACAAAATGTAGTTGACCTTACATGGGTTTTATCTAACTTGAATATCCAACAACGCTGTCAACATTTTATCGGAAATGATCGAACTTTTAACCTAATTACATTCTTAACTCATTCTCTCATCCTCTCGTCTAGTCTCATGAGTCATCACACATATTTTTTATCCAAGCGATAGTTCGTATGAGAGGAAGGTCGACCATAAACCATGTGTTTTATGATCTATACTCTTAACCGTTTGAGTTACACACTCCCACTACACGTCTTCATATGAATAGGAGCAAAAAGATGAGCCACATGTGCCTGGATGCAGTATTTAAAGTAAAATTTAAATAAACAGACTTCTGACTCAGAAAAAAAGAAGAAGGTATAATTAATGATTGCTGACCCGAGTTAATTATCCATTCTTAACAATGATTAATAAAAACAATAATAATAATAATCCAAAGTCTAAACGCAAAATCTAAAAGTCAATGGGGAGAGGGATTTTGTTATTTGAAAGGGTTTAAATTCTTGGTGCAATTGAGAGGGTAGCAGAAGATCAAAACACCAATTGGGCGTAGAGACACTTGTCTTATCCCCTAAAATATAGCCCCTTTTTTGTATTTGTTTCATCTTTCTTCTCGAATAAAATGCTATCGCCTTTTGACTAAAAATAAAAATAAAAAATGTTGGTGCAATTGTAAAAATAAATTATATGTATATATAAAAGTCAATAATATTAATTATGTTATGTGGCAGAAAGTTATGAAAATGGATTTACTTATATACAAATTTATAAATAAACCCAATCCTAGACATGTATTTATAAAAAAACCCAAACACTATTTAAACATAGAAACACACCCAAAATCAACCCCAAAATCAACAATTGTATATTTTTTGGGTGTGTTTATAAATGGGTTTTGAGTGTGTGTAATGATGGGTTTTGGGTGTGTTTATAAAGTGTTTTGGGTGTTGGGTTTTTTTATAATTTCAACCCCCATTTTGGGTGTTTTAAGGAAACTCCCTTATTTATATAATTGAAACTTCGGTGTATAATTTGCAGATGCAGGTACTTTCTAGGGGGTTCTAGAATATAGAAGACAGCTAATTAACAATTTATTATACAAGACAGCCAATTAATTAGCTTGCTTAGCTGGGTAATTGGGATAGGTCAAAGAACTTTTATAAATGATTTATTTATTTAAAAAAAAACTTTTATAAATTAATTTAGATCTTGTACGTGGTACCCAACCTGAGGAAAAAATTAAAAAATATTATGAGATGTTGGTTTAATCATTGGATGCTATCATTCTTGGATGCATAGGATTTAAGGGGGCAATTTTTATTGGACATTGGCTCTAAAATTGAATAACATAAAAGAAAAAGATAACAGACGAATCTTTATTGAATTAAATTGTGAGAAATTTTTGAGGTTTTATTTGTTTAATTCATCACCATATTGTAGTTGAATACCCTAAGCTGGCTTAATCTTGAACTCATATACCTAGCCCATAAAATATAACAGAGAAAATATATAGTTGGTCTGCCAAACTTTGGTGAGCACAAGGTTGACCAAGCCAAATCAACTTTGTCATGCACTGAAAATTCAAAGAGTGTGCCCTTTTGTTTTTGAGAGAAAAACGATAATTGTATTTATAAATTAAATATAAAAATTATAAATTACAAGAATCAATACAAATGCTTATAAAAGGTTAATATAAAGATAGAAGCATAATAATTAACCATGCAGAGTTAATGTAGATACATACAAGAGTGTGCCCTTGTTATGTTATTAAGATTAGGAACTTGTTTAGCTTTATTCTACGATGTCCGAACTCATAAAATGCAACTATAAGGTAAAAGAAGTTAAGTGTGATTGTCATACTGTTACGTAATGTTATTAATTATCAATTATAATACGCTATTTTTCTCGAACTTATACTTTGTTAAAGTCTCTGAGTTCAACTATATCTGACCACAAATTCAATCATGGAACGCGGCCATTTGGTGAATTCCACAGTTTGATCGCACAGTAAAGAAGAGACCTCATATCAGATCCATGTCTGACAATTATTTTAGATCATTAGTTTGGCTCACGTTATACTTGCAATCTAAATATTTTCCAATCATGATGTTTGTGCATGCTTAATTCTACTATAGTATGCTTTTTGTATTTGTTCAATGATATGCACCTTTTGCTTTCAACATGCAAATTATGCACTAAGTAAGCATGCATTCTTAGGTCAAATAAAACAGTCTTGAGAGCAATTGGATGCAAATTTTAGACACATTACTTATTTTCATCATTTATCGGAAAAATAAAAAAGTTATGGTTCGTTTGAGAGTGATTTTTGACTTCTCCATATAATCACTTTATATGAGTTTTAAGTGATTTTATGGAGGTGCTTCTTCCCAAAATCACTTAAAATGATTAAATAGAGAAACATGTGAGAAGTACTTCTCTCCATAAGTGATTCTGACTCCCAAACGAGCCTTTATTGTCTTATTTTGTCTTTCATTTTCTTTGAACCCAAAAAACATAAATATAAAATCACGTGAGGTGTTCTTAGGGCTTGATGATGTATGAAATTAAATAAACTTAATAATTCAAGACCACCGCAGCTGTAAAATCCCACAATAAAAGTTGAAAATATCTCGGGCCAAAAAGTAAGTTGAAAACTTTAATAAACAAGACGATTGAAAGCTACGAGGTCCCGTGAGTGTTGATACCAGTCATCCTCATTCCTGTCACTGATGACAAATTGCTATTTTACTCCTCATAATCAACAAATTCATTTATATTCTAAAACTTTTTCCAAAAAAATAAATAAGAAAAAAAAAACTCAAACTTGTATTGGTGTAAAACTGTAAAGCTAGAAAGTTGAAAAAAGGGGACAATTACATGCAACGAGAATGGCCCTGTCTAAATCAGTCCCGAGACTTGAACTTCTGTGTATATATGAAACTGTCAACCTTCTTGGTAGGTTTGTTTACAAGTTTATAAATATAAAAAGCTAAAGAATACTAAATTCATTTTTATGGAAAAATGTACATTAAATAATATTCATAATCTTAAAGGCCCCTCAACCGCTATAAATTGAAGGCACCCATCCGAGAAGGGAGCAATTCAGAAATAGCTAGCTACTTACTTAGATCAATAATGAACACCAACATGGATTCAAAGAAATCTAACAAGATCAGAGATATTGTCAGGCTTCAACAGATTCTCAAGAAGTGGAGAAAGATTGCTAACTCCTCCTCCTCATCATCAAAAGCAATCTCCAACAGCAACCACAACATGAGCAGCAGCAGCAGCAAGAGCATCAAGTTTCTGAAGAGGACACTTTCTCTGTCGGACAAAACCGCCTCCTCCTCACTTGAGGCCTCAAGCATTGCTGCTGTCCCCAAAGGCTACCTTGCTGTTTGTGTTGGGGAGGAGCTCAAGAGATTTGTCATCCCAACGGACTACTTGGGTCGTCCTGCTTTTCACATTCTGCTGAGAGAAGCTGAGGAGGAGTTTGGGTTTCACCAGACTGGTGTTCTGAGGATTCCATGTGAGGTTTCTGTGTTTGAAGATATTTTGAAGATGGTGGAGGAAGACAGGGACACATTGCTCTTCAATCTGCAAGAATGCAGGTTTAACAAAGATGATATGATGGGGTGCTGCTCATCATCAGAAGGCCAGCCTAACTTTTCTCACCACCCAGAAAGCCCAATGTGCAGATAGTTTTATTTATTTTTCATAATTTTCACTCCTGTAGATCTCTCCTCTTTTAGCTGAGAGGAAGAAGAACTTTCAAGTTGTGTAAATTATCCTCTGATGCATTTTGTCAGGCATCCAATCCAACATCTTATTTTCTGAGGCATCTAAATCCAACATTTTGATAACAGAACTGCATATACCGATAAGCCTAGATGCAAACCAACAATCTCATTCATGAGGCAAATGCTGATTTTGTAGGATCAAAGCAAAATGAGTTTTTTCAGGCATCCAATCCAAGGGTTCATAGTCAATCATCAAGGATTTTGATATCAGAATTGCATATATTGATAATGCAGTAAACAACTAAACCAGTTTCATTAGTGAGTCAAGTGATGATGGCTCATTACTCATATTACACATAAAGTCTTCACATGTCTTTAAAGCCAGTTGCAACCAAATAATAAAGACTTTATAACATTGCACCAATCAACATTTGCAAAACTCCAAACCACAAACCGTATTCCAGAAGTTCTCAACTAAACCACATGTAATAATAATTCAAAAGCTAGCCAACGTTTGCAAGACATAATTCATCCATTGGACCTGAAAAGGTAACCAATGGAAAACTAACAATTTAAAAATATGAAATTACTTCATTCAAAAGAAAAAGTAGCCTTGGTCAACATTTCTCCTGATGGCACCCCCAATAAAAATGTTTAACCATATCTGTCAGGACAGGTTCATGAGAGCTTTGAACATAAGACAGCTAGCTGTTGTAATCAGTACAAGTGAGTACCATTAACACCTCTAATGTTATCCTATGTCTTTGATGCAGAAAGTCAGAGACAAATGTCTAGTTTAAAGACTTTATGATGCAGAAAACAATATAATATTGCCGCCATTAGCACTTACATCAAGTAAAACACCGAAAATCACATTGGCAGATTTTTACAGTTTCTCTTTGTTCATTCACGTGCAACTTTCTTGTTTTAAACTTCAGGAAGCAAAACCATGTGTCAATCTTGAGAGACTAATCAACCATATGAATTGTAAAAAAATAATGCAATTTGAAGTTTTAAAAATCCACAGTAGGATCCAGTAAAAAAGGCAGATCATCACATGATGTCTGTAATGAGTATGACCCTTTGGTCCAATTTGCAAGTAGCAAAAGCCTAAAATATTCACGTGAAATACGGCTTCAGTTTCATAATTCTTGGCAACAGAGGTCTAGTTTCATGAAAACCTGGTGCTAGAGTTGTAACTATTAATCAATCTTGGCAATAGGTCTAGTTTCCTGAAAACCTGGTGCTAGAGTTGTAACTCTTAATCAATCTCTTACAAAACGATAATAAATCTAAATGCTAGGATTCCTTACAAAGTTCCAAACCAGCATGGAGATAAATAGAAACGTCGAAGAGCAACCTATGAAATACAACAAACACCCATTTGACATCTGTATATGGGACCATATATTGATCAATCAGTGGCTAACACAAATTGTCAGTTTTGTGCAGCACCAGTAGTTATGTTCCTCAAAGATTATAGTCCTGGTTGCAACTTGAAAAAAGAAAATAGCCAGCCAATGGTACTTTGGATCAAGCTCATCACTACCAAATGCACCAAGTTGATTGTCATTTTAATATCAGGCCTGTCAGTCAGAGTGGCTTCTCAAACTCAAGAAGTTGTAGAGAAAATTTATATGCTAATAAGCACTTAATTCCATGAATGTAATAACCAAAAGAAGCACTTTCAACTGTTTTCAGTCAGTTTGGTGTTCTTTGTGACAGCGCAAACTAAAACTCAAACAATTTGTTTAAAACAAGCCAAAAGTTGAACATTGAAACAAACAAAAAGTTGTTCTCTTAAATATATTGTTCAGTCCTCTTAATATGTACATTATGGGTTCTTTTTATATTCATGAATTTTGGCATACATTGAAGATGAAACCTTGGCCCTTCTATATAAAAGGCACTGGGTAGTGCAGGGAAGCTAGATTGAGGAGTTATTGTGAGGGGTTATATTGAGGGGGTCCTTAATAGTCGTTTGATTCAGTACGGACTTATTATTGGACATAGCGCCTCGTTATAGAAGCACCCTTGTAGTGAGCCTCAATAGGGCTATTGTGGACTCAGGGATACATTTCTATTTCTCAACATTCTGCAATCAAGAAAGATAGGCACTCAAGTATTTAATTTTTCAGTGGTTAATTGCAATTTACTCAAATTACATGGATTAGAAAATTTATAAAAATGGTCTTGCCATTTTCATTTGTAATATTGCTTCCTCTCAAACAAATTACACATGAGCCAAAAAAAAAAAAAAAAACCTTAACAGTGAACATAAGCTGTTCGAAACAATGAAAACCATCTCCGAAAAATCAAAGTAGTTGTGGAGGAATCAATCAATCCCTCCTAACTCATATCATATTCATATGTATCAATAAGGAAGCAACCCAGATGAAATTAAAGGCTCAAAAAGACACCTCTTCACCATCATTGTAATTTGGGAATGTGACACATTTGAACACTTTGCACTTTGAACATAAAACCTGACCAATCTGCAGCAAAAAATAGCAACCATGAAAAAATATCAAACCTTTCACTTAAATCTGTTATGGGTTTCCATAAAAATTGAAACTTGCAAATGAAAAAGTACTGGGATTAGGGAGGAGAGCCTCAAACTTACAGCTCTGCAAGTTGGGCATCGACGGTAGATTCGATTGGTCTCAGATTTCACATTGGTTTTCTGGCCTTTGCAAAAATCACAGAGCAACCACCCTCTGCCATTGCAGGCCTCGCACAGAACTGCTACATCACCCTTGGAAAAAGCTGGACCAGAGTCAGTCAGATGACAAACAATTGAAAATGGTGAAGCTCAAAAAGTCTCTAATGAAGGCATTAGTTCAGTACCTCTGGTTCTTGTCGTTGTTGTTGGATGGGTGCGCAGTGTGCAGGCTTGACCAAACGACGTGTCGTTGAGGGTGAGGGTGGCAAAATGCGTAAAGAACTGGGATTCCAGGGGGCGAAAGTCATCATCGTCGCCATTAGGCTTGGTGTGAGCTTCTAAAAAACAGGGCAGAGTGAAGTGTCGCTCTGCTTTTCATCTCATTATCCGATAGCATGTCCTTCATTTGTGACGTGTCTTCCAAATTACAGAATTGCCACTGCTCCAATACACAATTAATTAATTATTTTCTTTTATACTATTCTTATTTTTTTTTATATAAATAAATTTATTATTATTGATACTATTCAATTTCAAAAAAATTTAAATTTGTTATTGGTACTAAAATTTATTTGAGTTTTGGAATTGGAGATGATCTTAGTCCCCTCTCGTTTTTTATTTTATTAAGCCTCAATTTCTTTTTTTTTTCTTTTTTTTTTGAGGACCTTTCCTGTTGAGAGGGGCGATAGCATTCTAAATTCACACACACTACACGGATGCTATGACTTGAACCCAGGACTTTGCCTGAGAAAGTAAATACTCCAAACCACTACACTAGTAGATCATTTGCTTAAGCCTCAATTTCTTAAATGAGAGTTTTAATATATATTGTTTTTGACAAAGCGATATTCCAAAATAACTCTAAATGGAGGGAAATCGAACTCAGGTGTAAGATGGCGGACACATTGAATCAGCCAACGGGCCTAACCGACAACGGCACACTGGCAGCTGTAGGTTATGTGACAATGTTGTCATTTGTCAAACATGGCCCACTAGGAGGATGAATTTGAGCCCCGCTGATTAATATTTGGGCTAGCATCGCACCATAAATTTGGGCCTTTACGGATATTATGGGCGGGAAGTAATCTTATTAGAAAGAAAGAGAAGGTTGAAGAAACCCCCAGAAAAACCACCCACTATTACAAAAATAAAAATTGTTTTTTAAAAATCAATTCCCAAAAAGAGAAAGACAGGCGGTGTGAAGCAAGGCAAGCTCGCTAGGAAGACAAAGCGAGAGAGATTTTGATTTAGGGTTTCGGATCGCAAAATGAAGCGCAAAGACCTCGATGATGACGTAGACGACGCCTTCTACTTTCCTTTCTCTAAATCCAGGAGACTGGTAAGCTCTCTGCGCCCGAAAATTTGTCTTTGTTTCAATTCATTTCAATCCTCAACAAATTTAGGGTTTTTTTGCCGCGCTTTTCTCCGAACTTAGAGATATGATGAATTTCTGATACTTGTGTTTCTTCGCGCTTTAATATGTAATTTTCTGCTTTTTTGTTGTGGAATTTGAAGGATGCTGACTTAATTGCAACTGTAAATGAAGACCCAAGAAGTGCCGCTCAGGTGTTTGAAGAAAGGCCATCTGAAGGCATCATTTTGATGCAAACAGATGATTTGCCGAAGGACCCATTGCCTTCAGGTGATGAGAAAGCAATTGTGCTCTATAACCCCGCGAACATGCCGCCGCTTCAGAAATCCCCCGACTCGCGGGATTTCTCTCTGATTGTGAGTTCAGATTTGATTCCGGGTTTAAGGGGTAAGAATCTTGATCTCTGTATTGCTGTTAATTGACCCCTTTTTTGTTTCTTGAGTTCAGAAAGCATTCCATATGTAGCCAGCCAAGTCTCTTTGATCATAGAGTCTAAGTCTCTTTGAATGGTGTTGGAGTAGTAACACACAACTTAAGTTTATTTTTAATGATTAAGGGTGATTTTTAAATGCTTAATGCTGAGCTATGTTCTGATTTGTGTGAAATTGAAAACTCGTTCGTCAATGCAATATAGCGAAGTTTTTATGATTTACCATTAGCCGAATGCTACTGGTCGATGTGTGAAAATGGTGGTTTGGTTCTGGCTCTAGAATGAATGCGTACTTTGAGTACACCCATCTTTGACCTTTACATGAAACAGGTCTGCAAATTCATGCCTTTTTTAACTAACGAATTTGTTTCTGGTAGATCATATCTATTCATGGGGAAATTCAAAGTCGCTGAAACCAGCAGAGGAAAACAAAGAAGTTTCAAATGGCTGTTTGGCTGTTGTTCCCTGGGTTGCATCTAAGTTCCCTCTAGCATCAAGAGAACAGGCAGCGAATCAGTCGGAGGAGCCCATGGAAGCTGAGGAAGTTGAAATGATGGACACAGATGACAACGGTTACAATGCCGGGGAAGCTTCCGGGTTTGGCAGAATGATGGAAGACTCGGGTGGGTTACAACACTGGCAGCAAAAGCAGTTACATTGGTTGGAGCCAAAGCTCGTCCAAAATAATTATACTCCTGTCACGTAATAACTAGTTCAACCTCCCAGTTCTTAGCAGACTCACTGTAGTTTCATTTTATTAACCTGAACTTGATGAAATTTTCCACTTGGGGAGTTTCCACACTAAATTGTTTTGGGTTCTTTGGAAATCCCCTTTTAGAATTCTCAAATAAAATACGGATTGTTTGTACTTCAATTCTGTGAATGTTCATAAATGTCTGTCGAAACCTAAACGTCTTCCATTTGGCCTGAAAACTCGTCTGGGTGGATGGACGCAAGACGTTTTAATCCAAATTAAGATTCGAACCAGACCCACGATCAGTGATTATTTAGGGAAAAAACCTGAAATGAAATCAACCGATCCAATTATAATGGTTTGTGAAAACAAAGTTCAAATGTACTGATGCTTACTAGACCAGCTTCAAAGAGAGATTCTCAGCAAGTCTGAAGAGCAAAAGAATTCGATTTACGAGCAGTTAAACGCCTCCCAAGCCATTGTCATCGCAAGGGGGCTGCCTGAATTACCACTCGATACACCAAAAACAAGTATGAAATAGAAACAAAAAAATATATATATATCAACCTCAACAGAGAAACCCGCTAGAAGGAAAGAAAGCCATAGCGAATTTGGGTGAAAAGGTTGAGAGGTTGATTTAGGGAAGCTGCATTCATCTCTATGGCACTGTTTTCAATAAGCCAAAGAGCCAAACTCCAGCCCCATTCGCCTTCTCAACAATAAAAAAATAATAAACATAGAGAAACAGAGGAAAAAAAATATTGAAGAAACTCTGCAACCCCCAATTTTGCACAGGCGTTCGGCGCAACCCTAACCCTAGGAACACGACTTCTGTAAACTTCGCACGACAGACAGGTATATATAGGGAGGAGACGCGCCTAGCCCTCAGCCAAACGAAGCCCACTTGGAATTCTTTTTGGCTTTATGGGCCGGATTTGAATTCAAGGACGTCCAATTCTGAATGGACTTGACCCATAGTCGATGGGCTAACTCCAAATTCACGGGTGGCTTCTTTAATTTATTTTTGTTTATTTTTCATTTTAGTTTTATCAGCACTCATTGGTTAGTGTTTTTTTCGGTATGACCACTCATTGGTTAGTTCGGTGGCCGCATTTGGATTGGTTCAAAATTTGTCCTAGACGACAAACCCAACTGATCTCATCGGTTTGGATTTTTTTTTCTACAAATCGAAACTGATTGAACCGTATACCTAACCAATCCAAATCAAGTTGTCGCTTGAGAGTCTGATTCCGTCTGTTTACGTTTTTAACCGCTTAAGATACAAGCACGTTCCAACAACACCCTATCCTCTAAGATTATAATTTGATTTGTTCAATTGGTTAAATTGTGTTATTATTATTATTATTTCCCTTGAGCAAGATACCCAACGGATATACTCAGTCATGGACGCTGCATTGAGATTCTTCTTCCCGGCAAATTGGACCTCAATTTGGAAAAATGATTGTAAAAAATAATATTCGATACAACCCACGATTCTTATTCCAAAACCGCCCCACAAAAAAGAAAAAGTTTTGAAATAATTAAAGATCATATAATCCATTGCCCATACTTTTGGATAAAATGTACGCCGTACGAGAAGAACATCCATTTTAAATGAGCACGTTAAGCTGACGTGGCACTCTGAATCGGCTGCAGCAGAGTAGCAGCAGCTGACTTCTGAGAGAGACAACAAGAAGAGGATAAACTCAATGACTCAACTCACACAAACATAACGGCAAAACCCCGCTCAGTTTGTAACAAATCGAAACGTCACCGTTCATCTCATCCCTTATTAGTAAATTACCTAAACCTCCAGCACAAATCTGTTTGATATTTCTGTCAATTATAGTCTCTTCTTCTTCTATAATTGAGATTCTCTATCTCCTTCCTTGATCACAGCGATCATTGCTAGAGAGAGAGAGAGACAATGAGGATTGACGAAGAGACCGAAGGAGTTTCGGCGTCCAGGAACCACCTGGTGTTTGCTTACTATGTCACCGGCCATGGCTTCGGCCACGCAACTCGCGTCGTTGAGGTCAGCTCTCTCTGCTCTCTGATCACTGTTTTCTTCAAATTTCAATGTCGATTGTCCAATTGCTGATCTGCTTCGTCAATGCGGTGTTTTTTTTTTCCTTCTTCTAAGCGTAGGTTGTGCGGCACCTGATTCTGGCCGGCCACGATGTGCACGTCGTAACCGGAGCGCCGGACTTCGTTTTCACGTCGGAGATAGAGTCGCCTCGGCTCTTCATTCGCAAGGTATCACTTCCACAATCTCACAAGTTGCATGTCTCTCAATGATAATAATTAATATGCATCAATGATCAAAATGATAATTTTATAGAATTATTTTATGATTTGTGATATTTTAGCTTTATATTAGTAATGTAGCAGTAGCAACTTTATTTACTTATTGAATTTTTGGATATTAGGTTCTTCTAGACTGTGGAGCTGTTCAGGCAGATGCTTTAACAGTCGATCGTCTTGCATCCTTGGCAAAGGTAATAGGAAGTGACATTTCCTCTTTTTTTTTCTCTGTTTTGTTGATTATTTTTTATTTATTTATCGTGGTGGAGAAGTAATGTTACTGATTCTGTTATATTTGTTTAGTATTCGGAGACGGCTGTGGTGCCAAGGGCTTCTATTTTGAAAACAGAAGTTGAATGGCTAACCTCCATCAAGGCTGACCTAGTGGTACTTAAAATGTTTCTTCTGTTGTTTTGTTGATATGGGTTTGATCCTGTCCATTGTAGTCCGTTAAGATTGAGTAGAAGGGAGCTTTGATTTGTGTTTACATAATTCCATAAAGATCCTTGATCTGATAGTTTATTCTACTTGTACAAGAACAGGTCTCAGATGTTGTT